ACCTCCTCCTATTGTTATCAATGGCATAAATGATTTTAAAAAATTACATGCCCAACTTATTGCAACTATAAAAAACAAGTTTTTTGTGAGACTTATAAATAATGGTTCATATAGAGTATCAATTTTTGACTCTTTTGACTATAGATCTGTCACAAAACTATTAAGTCACGAAAATATTTCCTGGTTCAGCTACGAAGACAAGCAAACTAGGCCAATAAAAGTTATTGTAAAAAATCTTCACCATTCGTGTGATCAAGAATCGATTATAAATGACTTAAACAACCAAGGTTTAAAAGCAATCGGTGCGATAAACAAACTCAAATGGAAGACTAAAGAACCGCTTGATATGTTCCTTTTGTCATTTGACTCAACCGAAGATGTGAAGAAAATCTATGAGATAAAAAGTATTCTTAACACAATTGTAAAGATTGAACCCATCAAACCGTCAAACTTAATTCCTCAATGTAAAAAATGTCAATCGTTCGGTCACACAAAAAATTTCTGTGGAAAACCTCCACGTTGTGTTAAATGCGCCGGCAAACATTTAACTTCGGAGTGCCAAAAGACAGTGTCCGATAAGCCTAAATGCTGCAACTGTGGCGAACCGCATCCAGCGAACTATCGTGGTTGTATAGTCGCTAAAGAATTACAAAAAATAAAATTAAAAAACAAAGCTGACAAAACTAAGGCTGACGAAAATAATCAAGTTGCTGTAACAAAAAGTAAATCCAAAATTACTGGACCTACTAGTGTTAGAACAGTCACTTACGCCCAAACTGTAAAGGGACCCATTCAAAGTACTGAGTCACAAAGCAACAACGCGTTGTCAATTATCTTAACAAAACTTAACTACAAGAAGAGGTATTTAAAACGCTCGAACAACATCTAAGCGTGCTAGAGCACAATATGCAATTTTTAGATTATGACTAATCGTTTGAAACTATTCCTATGGAATGCGAATGGCTTAACAAAACATAAAAATGAACTCGAAGTCGTATTAAATAGCGAAAACATTGATATCTGTTTAATCGCTGAAACTCATTTTACTAAGCAATCGCACATAACGTTTAAAAACTATATTCTATACCATACCATACATCCTGATAATTGCGCTAGGGGTGGCAGCGCTGTCATAATTAGAAACTCGATAAAACATCACTTACTAGAACAATATAGCACAATCGAATTTCAAGCTACTTCTGTTTCCGTGGAAACCTTTAATCAGCCGCTGGTCGTAACTGCATTATATAGTCCTCCCAGGCATCAGTTGAAGTGCGCAGACTACTTATCTCTCTTTAACCGGTTTCAAGGCCGTTTTATAATTGGAGGAGACTTCAATGCAAAAAATACGTTTTGGGGCTCAAGACTTAATACAACCAAAGGAAGAGAAATGTACAAAGCCATGCAACTCGCAGCTTGTAATTCAATTTCAACTGGTAAACCAACGTACTGGCCGTCGGATACTAGCAAAGTTCCAGACCTAATAGACTTCTTTGTCTACAAAAATATTCCAGCATCTCACCTAACCATCTCAGAAGGCTTCGACTTTAGCTCTGACCACTCACCAGTGCTGCTGATAGTTTCACAAAATCCAACAATAAAGCAGAACACACTCAAGTTAGCAAATAAATTTACCGACTGGAAATATTTTCAGCTTCAGCTTGTACATTTGCACAAGTTTGATCATATTGTTAACAGCGAGCAACTAGATGACGCAGTACTTCATTTCACTCAGCAATTGCAGATGGCAGCGTGGAACAGTACACCAACACCAAAACTCCAAACTTTACATGGTAAAAAATACCCACCCTTCATCACAAAAAAGATTACGGAGAAGCGAAAATTGCGAAAACGTTGGCAAGCAACAAGATGTCCGTTAATTAAATCGCAACTAAACCGAGCAACTAAAAAGTTACGCACAGCCATCAAATCATTCAAAAATAATACCTTTAATAGTTTTCTGATGGGCCTCACGGCAGACAAAAAAAATGAATACTCTTTGTGGAAAGCTGCTAAATCATTTAACAGACCAATGCAGCAGTCTGCCCCAGTAAAAATAAACGAAACTCACTGGGCTACAACAAATTCTCAAAAGGCGAACCTGTTTGCTGAACACCTAGAGAAAACCTTCAGTCCAAATGAAGGCCAAGATGTTATTGGGTCAAGTACAAATTGGCCCGAAGGTGACGCTGCAATTGTTCCAGTCACTACGGAAGAAGTGAGAAAACAAATTTTGACAATGAAACTCAAAAAATCTCCTGGTTTTGACTTAATAACGGCTGAAGTTCTTCGGAACTTACCCAATAACTGCATCATCTACCTATGCGATTTAATTAATT